CCGGCAGAGATTTTCGGCGAAGCGGCCTAAGTGCGAGGGTACAATCTATCAGCTCTATTACACCGCCATCCGCGCTCGGAAATTTCCCGGTGTACGGTAGCAGGCAGCTGAACAGAGGAGACGCCGTAAAATTGATAGATAGAAATAGCGTGCACGGCATGTACGTTTGAATGACCGTCGAAATCGTACTCGATCAGTCGCCGGTCGTCGTTGGTCGGCGCGCGATACCTCCCGCGGGACAGCCGAGTGTCCCGAATTTTATGCCTTTCGATGAGGAGGACGTAACCCCCTCGTGAATGAAACCGAAAGGACGTGTTCCCGTCGACGAGAGTGTCTCTTTCACGACCGTAGATATATCACGGCGGTGCGGCCCGATTGCTCCCGCTGTTGAATAAAAGAGCCGGAACGCAGAAGATAGCGTCGATCGTAAAAAGGGCGCAGCCCCCTTCCTCGGAATACGACAGAAAGGAGAAACCCCCGCGGTCAATCGGTCGATATTTTACAACGGGGATGAAAATCGAAGTGGGTATTCACCTCAGGTATTCACGGTCGGGCGACAAGGCGCGCTGTTACATGCTGCAACGTAGATTTTTCGTTTCTCTCTTTGTTTGTTTTGTTCAGAAACTTTCCTTTTAGAAGCTTGTATACCTCCCGGCAGTTCAGTTCCGGTCTCGGGCCCCATCCGAGAAAATATTATAAAGCGCAAGTTCCGCAAACTTACGCGCAGAAAACTTTTCTTGAATAATATAGCATAGTGATAGCATAATTTATTAGACTCGTATTGTATTGTAATTAGGATATGTTTATACGAAGGTTGAAATTTATATTTAACAGCAACGAACAAATAATTTGGTCAGATGTATTTTTCACTTAATTGTGTGCATATAAATTTACCACGTGGAAATATCAGGTAAATGAAAAATGTTTCATTTTGATAGATGTATTTCCGACGTTGCGGTTTGGACTCCGCGTTATTTCCGGTGTCAGTACGGGAGAAAATTCTATCTCGTGGAATAACTATGGTGTAACCATAATAATCCTGCGTAATCAACTTCTTATATTTCTTCCGAGGCTACATTGCGACATTTACTGCTAGAACTGAAAATTTATAGTTCATGTTACGTATACTTTAGATTTTCAGTACTGGCAATAAATGTATCGGAACGCAGCCTAAAATTACGTAACTATTCTTTACTTTCTCGAAGCGTCGCTTCCAACTTTTTAAAAAGTAAACGTTTGCAAGATACTGATACTGTTGTAATCGTTTTCAAAAGCTATTAATATAATGTATTTTGCTAAATAAATGTTGCCGTTTTGCATATATGTACATAAATTGTAATTCTACACTTTCAACGCGGTTTCGGAGCTCAGAAACGAAGTGGAATGTCGCTCTTTGGTACCTTTCCTCTACCGTCAAGTTATAATATTTTTGTTATATTATTTCAGTACATCGTGACTCAATAAAATTCTTGTTTGATGCGCCGAGTTATAGCGATTAGCTATAAAATTATGGAGAGAGTATTTTTATTCAGATTAATTATTAAGATTAATTTTTTGCTACTTAACTTTTGTCGCTCGCCTCATTTTCTTACTATCTTGCTTGAAGCATCATCATGCAAAGAAAATGGCGGACTTTCTGTACATCGAATTCTATTTTCTCTCTATATCTGAGACTAATAACGTCTCTAACCGTTAAGGAAGTTCGCGTGCACTTTTGCAAAGCGCGACTTGCGAAGGTGTCCGAGCTTCCCGAACGATCTAACACCTAAAGCTGACTTTGGGAATTTTAGGGTTCGTCAAATCCAACATTTTCCAGATTGTTTCACACAGGCCAGACATAATTCCGTTTTAAGGACATCCCGCACACCGCAGACATCCTGTAATGTGTCTAATTACACTGTGACATAGTTGGACGCAGTCCGACGTAAAACGCCCGGAAAGTTTTGTCACGTGGTGCGTTACGTGACGTCGGGAGCGCACGACGCGAAACGAAAGTATTCTCTCCATTCGAAACGGTCCTGACGGTCGTGCCTCACTCCTTGGATATCCGGTAAATTGCGTGCGTACGCGCGACTAATGTAATGTATGTATAAATTATACGACAGGGAGCATCGCGAGAGGGAAGCGGCACGAAAAAAGAAGTAATGCTCGCCCGGTGAGAAATGCACGCCAAAGAGCAACGCGGCTGGCGTTGTGGTGGTGTATCGGCGAAACGGCCGCGATGTACTCGCGATTTACGTACAACAAATGTGTAAGCGGAAATTTTCCCGGTATTCTGTATGATAAAGAAGTGGTCACACCGCGACTCATCCGTATGTTAGTGACGTGACGTAAATCGCGTTTGCCTCATATGCATAATCTTTCCCACGAGAAGGACAGCAGTACGTTGAAAATATACGACCTGGGAAAAAAGAACTTTGGTGAAATAGACTGAAAAGAGTATCGCAAGGAATTATTTAGTAATAGGTCCATGCTTCTATTGTCAATTATTGCCCGGCATCCTCTCGGCATATTTTCGGTTGGGGTTTCAGAATATTCATGTCGAGAGAGCGTCGTGGCTTTTCGATTCTAGCCGACAGCTGTTTAGAAAGTAAAGATTTTGTTGCCTCTTAGTTTGTACTTTATTTCGAACAATTCTCGGTCGGATTCGCATCTGGGAACGATGTAGGCCAATCCATTGTGGTGACGCCATTTCCAGCTTTCCATTCTGTACGAAGGCGACTATGGTGCACATTTAACATGACATATTGTTTTGAGTAAATGATAATAATTTTGGTAATTATTCTCTATTTCATCATTCGGTGTGAGCGTCATATGAACTACCTATAAAGGAATATTCCAATTTACTAACTTTATACGTTAACCAGTAAAGTTATTGCATCGAATTTATATCTGTCAATGTGTCAATTTCGGTGTCGATTTCGGTGATTCGACATGTCGGTAACATCCCGTGCAATTTTGTCGTTTAACGACGTAGCTTTAAATTTTCCATCTCCTCGATAAAATCATTCTCTGAAAATTAATCGACCTTTTTTTCCATATGGGTTAGATTTTTCATTCTTGGAAATTGTTAAACCCTTAGCGCGTTCAAAATTCAATTACGTCCAAGAAAAAATTAGTTTGTTTTTTTCCATTTTCACTGAGGAATTCGATATTAATATTTAATATAATAATTATACCTTGTCTGTGCTTATTTTATCCAGACATGTGTTTACGCATAAATCGTATCAAATGGCGGCGTCGATCGTCGTTCATGAATGCTACTGTACTCACGAGTGTAAGCGCGCGTTCTTGCAGAAGTTATATTTGCAAGAGTACACGCACCGACGATGGTCGTTCCAGCTCCATCTCCGGCATAAATCGCCGACAACGACTACGCTCACTCCCGCACGAAGACGCCGAAGATAGTCGTTTTACCTCTTCCTCCGCGAACTCGAATTTCGTGACTCAGCTCCGCTGTCTTCCGCCCACTGAGCGTGTTGTCTTCAGTAACAGCGATAACGCGTTGAAAACTTCCCTTAACTCTCATCAAACTCGGTTGATATTAAATATACAAGGACTCGTATATTATGTGTCACCTTGTTTCTTGGTAATAGCGCAATTTGAACTTTTTCAGTTGGTTGGTTCGTGGCAATATCGTTGGAAAGTAATGGCTAATTCAACATGAAGAAGCTCGATAAATCTATGTTAAATGTTTATAAACATGATTTATTATATACAGTTTTGACTAGTAGTTTTGAACATTATAGAATAAGGAAATATCTCAGTCAAACTTGATGTTTAAAAAATTGTAAAAAAAATCCTTCTTCGTGCTTTGACGTATAATTCTTTCGGCTGGGGTTGTCCGTGTTAAGAATATATCTGTGAATATATCGTATATACCGATGCACATGAATGCACATTACCAGAGATGATGGTGACGTGGGATTTTTTCGTATTTTTCCCAGTAAACACAAAATATAACTGTTATATAATGTAGAAATAACGCATAATATAACGGCTGTAATCTATTTATGTTATCTTAAAGTAACATAATCGAGTTTGTATGCATAATGTAACTGTGTTTTAAAATTGTCATATTACTTTGGTATTTGCGAGGTATGACACAGAATAACAGTAATATAACTTAAATATAACACAGTATATAACAAGCATAGTGTTTGCATTACTTCTATATTATACAATATTTGTTATATGCAGATGTCGGATCGTTCATTGAATGACCGTTTCTCATATGTAAAATATGATGTGTTAACGTATATAAGAATGATCACGATACGGTGAAACTTGTATCGTGATGTCTACTCTTACAATAAAGTGATAGACTTTTGAATTAACAATAATTATTGTCGCTAATAACAGTTTCTCCCACGGAAGTATCATTTATGGCGATGGGAGTGAATAAATTGTAATAGCTGAGAGATTAATTTAGAATGGCAAGATGCTTTTGTATTATCAAGCTGACTGAATATCTTTTTTAATATAAAACAATTATCGCATTATTGGAAATATATTTTTATGCGGTTATTCCTAAAATATCGCAGCTAGCGTTTCATAGAGCCAAAATATTTGATTTCATTTTACAGTGCACTCACGTCAGACCGATCTAGATAAAATATCTGCGTTGTCAGGGAATCCGTATTCATTTTGTATTAATGAAAATTGCACGGCAATTGACGAGCAAACAAAATCTTACTTGATATACGTAGCAAAAAATTGGCAAGGCAAGATTTCGCGGAAAATGGGACGGTGCTGTCCTAATGGAGCTATGTTACTTTCATGTGCGTCAGGGATAAATGGAACGACGATACGAAAATCGACCGGAATAGAAGTGCATTGCTCGCGAAAGCATTGTTGTACGGTCGACTTCCACATCACCGGGCTTTTTTCTCTTTTTTCCTTCTTTCCCGTGTTTCCTTCTTTTTTTTATTTACCCACAAAGTTTCTGTGAAAGTATAGCTTTATTTTCGCGAGCTTTTGCAGCTTTTCGCTTCCGCTTCGCTCTCGACTGATCATTGCGGTAGGTTCGCCTCTGTAAGAAAGAAAGAGGAGAAAAAGGATTAAGGCAGAATGTACACGATGATAATTCATCTATATTTGTAAGATTAAAACAATCGACGAATACGTGGTCTACGTTTCAATTCATATTGAAGACCGAATAACCAGCTGTCGTCGGGAGGTTAACGTTTTTACACGAAGATGCCTTCTCGCACGAGACTTTTTCAGATGTGGCTAAAAAATTACAAACTGCCAAGGCGGAGTGCCGCGCAGAATTCACACGATTGCGAAAGTAAAAGTAGCATTATGTTTACTGTGCGTAAACTGGCGTTCGAATTGTCGGGATATAACAAATACGGGGTTTACACGCATGACATGATAGATTACACTGACCCTGTCGTACGTGAAGCTTTGCGCCGATTACCCAAGGACATGCTGGATGCCAGGAATTTCAGGTAATATTCAAGTGAAACTAAGGTAATATAAAGGTTTAATTTGAATCTAGTAATATAAGAAGCAAAACTGTATGGTTTCGGCAAACAATTTCGATAATAAATTTCAGAAGTAATATTACAAATACAAAGATATTATTTATTTTTTATATTTTTATTAATGTTTTATTTATACGACAGTTGAGCCAATAGAGATGCACACATGATAAAAAGAAGCATATAAATATTATAATGCGCATATATGTATACATATCGTGAGCGTTTCTATAAATTTTAAATTTCTTACGGCTATATTTTTAAAACAAAATGATCAAAAGTTCTGAAATTTTTGTCTGATGTCTTTGCATTAAGTTTTTAATATCACAGTAATTTTTCATTAAAATCCTATATGTGATTTAGAAGAAATTAAAAAGAGTTAAAAATAGAACATTAACCTCAAGGAACACGTATAAAAAATAGCAACTTTATTTGCGAATGTCTCGCCTTTCTAATGGTCAATTGTTTTCTAATTTTACAAATATGTAGATAATATTTTCCATCAATATGCAGCTAAAATTAAAAAAATTACCGAAGAAAATTAGTTGACAGGCTAATTATCTTAAGCAAATTAGTCCTCGTTAAGCGAAGTATTAAATTTAAACGCGATTGCTAAAATATAATTAAAGATATTTTGTCTTTCTCTGCTGTACACTAAAATTCACTTATCTCTGTATATCCGGCTCTCTCGTTTACATTTTAAAGTAATCCGCAACCGGGCTTGATTCTACTTTAAATAGTCGAGATTTAATATTGAACATTATAATCTTGGCAGAAGATAAGCGCAGCTATTCGTCCAACGTTCTCTTTCTTAAAGCTCCTGCGGACTTTGCAGGCGTATGCGCGAAGTTTCGGTATTCTTGAAGATTCACCCCAGGATATGGAAGCTACGTGCCGTACGACGCGAGTACGATGCGAAGCGCGTCGGACTTGAAAGAATCGCCAGGACGCTCCGCTTTTATTAAGCGCTAAATTCACTTAACGAGATCTTAATTTGAAATCCGGTCCGTAGCGCTCGTATTGCACGGGGAACTTTCGGTACAGTTCGCGCGGAGACGGCGACGAGTCGCTCCACTGTCGGCATACTCGCGCGCTCCTTTCCCTCCAAGATCATCCCCGTAAGTCGTCGCCGTCTTTCCGAGCTGGCGTAAATAAGAAACTCTCCGTGCTTGCTTCTTTCTTTTTACATAACGAGCCCCGGCTCGGTATGTCCCCGGACTGTGCAGTCGATTTTTCCGTTAAGTCACTCCGCCGCGCTCCTCCAGCGAAGGCACGTAACAGTTTTGCACGCTTCGCAGGATCATACGCGCTATGCAACTGAATTTCCTGAAGACATACCTGCCGAGGGAGAAGTGGGTCACGTTTGAGCAGGATTTGGAATATCGATACCTCGGCCAGTACATAAAGGAAATCGAGGCTGAGCGAGCTGAAATACAGAAGTTCGGCTGCCTCAATTACAGCGACACGGACTGGCCGGCTGATAAACCGATATGAGAGGAAGATTCTTATTGCACGCTCGACGAGTACGAACGAGTACTCGACGAGTATGTTATCGTTGCGCAGAACATGTTAATGTCGGTTTTACCTGATTTTCGCAAGAAGAACTGGTTGAAATATAGACGGATGAAATTAAATCAAATAATAATGCTCGTTGAACAAAGTATCGAAATGCGATTGTTAGAACGGGATTATTTCCTTTTTCTTTGTCCGCAAATAACTGATGGAATTCAATGAAATAGTATTAGCGTGGAGCGAGGTACGAAAATGCAAAGCGATTGTTGGGATGTGATTAAGAATATTTTTTTTTTTCTTTCCCTCCGTTACACGCCGACATTTATTCACTTCTATTCTTCCTCCGCGTGTTAATCTATTTGCGAAATACGTTTGACTCGCAATTGTTACTCCGACTGCGAGATAGAGATTAAATGAAGGGAGTAGCGACAGTTAGGAGTTGCGACTTGCTGTCACAACTTGCAAGTGTATTGCTAGTTGTCGGAAGTGCCACTTTGGGATCCAGTGTGGCTTAGGTAGACACGAAAGATCGACCGCTCGGCTGCTTCTCAAACGTCAAGCTACTCGACTCGGTTGTTTGTTTACCTTGATGGCTCTTTGTGTCCTGCGATGTTTGACGTGTATAGACCTGACGATATATCATCCATATAAGCATATCTTAAAATACGCATAGAATATGAAAAATTAAAATAATGCCCGGCACTGATCGAATATTTTCCACCGAAATCTTTTCAAATTCGCTGCGATTTACATTTAAATAATAAAACTTTATGCAATCTGCAGTTTATGATGGTAGCAAACGTTAGTTGTTATATTTTACATTCCAACTTCATTTTCCGCAATTTAACATTATGGTGAGTAGGAAGAAAATTCTATGTAATATTCTGGATGCAAATAAAAGAAGTAAATAATAATAATATTCCAGCAGAGTCACCGAGATTTTAAATATTTCATCTCCGATGCGGCAGCCCACAGATCCGTACGGATTTTATCTCAGGTTAAAATTGTCATCGCGAGATGATTGGTGGCGAAATAAATTTATGTACGGAAGCAAAAAGAGAAATACAGCGACGGGAATTCTTTGGTTTGATCGATGCTAAGAACATGTCGGGACGTAATATGAGATTTACGACCCAGCAAATTTATAGCGCATCGCTTCGCAACATTTTGCTTCTCCATCTGCATCTGCATGTTACACAGGCAAACGCATAATCCGTGGATTTGTTTACGCGAAGTTTACGACGGATGGCAGGAAAACGTGACTTCGTTTTGCATAGCAAAATAAATCGGCGTGCGCAACGCCTAGTTTACCTGGTGGAACTACCGATTTTCGAACTCTCGGACGTTTCGGTCTCGTGGCCGTATTGCGAACAATCGTCATCCAGGCATGAAGCGGTATTACAAAGCACAAGTGTACTTTGCGACAAAACGTCACAACCGTGGCAAATAGCCTCTAGCGTTTCATTAAAAAACAAAATCGCTGCATTTCGCTTCGAACCGCGCCGTCCGTCTGTTATTTTAACGACTTAATTTTAAATATATATTTTGAATATTTAGTATATTCTTCTTATTATTAACCACCTAGCAAAATATAACTACTACAAAATGTACAACACAGTAGAAATATTTTTCATATATAACTGCTGTTATATCTTATTTATATCGCGGTAACAGCTTGCAACCGTCGCAAACAATCATGTACCTATAATTGCAGAGACATAGTTAATTTATAATTATATAACATTTCAGCGATCTATATATATAACTGTTATATAATTTTCCATCAACCGATTCTAGTAAACCGATTCTAGTAAACGATTATATAACATTTCGGTAACATATCACGTTTATATTATATAACATTTTCGCAATTTTTGCAATTTCGTATGAGCAGGAAACTTATAGCTGACACATATGTTACTTGTAACATTTACATTATATTACGTGTTACATTTCGTTAAATTGCGATAACGTAACTATTATATATTTGTGTTTGCTAGTTAGTTACTTATACATTTTTCTTCAGATTTAACGATATTAATATTCTCTAAAATTTCTTCGCGTGTAATCTCATTTAAAACAAGTTAAAAGTGTCGAAATTTTCACTCGAAGCGATAATGAAAATACCGCCATTCAAAATCGCGAGAATGAATCATACTTAAAGCGGATTCCGGCTCGATATGAGTGAATATTTCAATAGATTAGAATGAATTTGTCTCAATAAAAGACGGTGGAATACATCACATTTACCCTTCAGTCTCGAATGAAAATATTCACTCGCAGATTCAAAGTGGAGGATTCATTCCGTACTAGTGAAAAATCACACTCGAATCCGAGTGGCTCGGCTGTCGCTCTGCTTCTCGAATGAAATCCCAGACAGCGCAAACTTCGAAATAAAATTAAAGACGTTCAACGACTCCTTAATTTTTCATATTTAGGAGGTCTTTTGGAAGTTAGTGGTGTCTGAAACGTCATTCCAAGAAATTTCGAGAATATTATCAGAGATTATCACTACCTCGCTTTCTCTCGTGTCGCTAATATCATTCCCGTCAATATTTCTCAGCGGACTTTGCCTTCGGAATCCAAATGAACTTGTCTACCTGTAACTCCCTTCCAGCGGGAAATATTTTCTCGCTGCGTGTCGATCTTCCCGGCAAACTTCTTCCATTCCTGATTGACAGAAGTTTCGCAATTTTACCTATTTTTTTTCTCTCCTCGGCGGCAGCAGTTAGCCCCGATATCCAGAGTCCGCTTAACTTCCGATTGAGTGCTGGCGAATTACCGAGTGTTTCGGCGCAAATGTCGCGGTGTTCAAGGTTTCTTCGCGTGAGGAACGCGAGAATGAGAAAGAGAGAAAGAGAGAGAGAGAGAGTTAATCGCGGTAACGCACGACCGGCGTCGACTTTACGAGTTCAAGCGGCTCGTAAAAAGTTCATCATGGTGGCTCCCGCGCTCTTATCGCGAGTTAGCCGATACTTGGTAGCTCGCCTTCTGAATTCTTTATGATTTCGCGAGCTTCGCGGAAATGCGCGGAAAGGCAAGAACAAGAACGTGAAAACGCGTTTACGCTTGTCGCCGGGATATCGTATTCAGCGCGAGGACGCCGTGATTTTTCTCGCGAAGCGAGCTTGCATAAATCACAAAAGCGCGCCGATCGCTCGCTCCTTCGTCCCGCAGTTCTCCGCTGGTACCGCCGGTAATTGGACCGGCTGGTGTCTCCGATTACGCGAGAGGCAAAAAATCGAAGTCAAGTTACAAGTTACAGATATCGATGCGAAGCGATATTCGGCTCGTCCTTGTCCACCCTCGATCTGTGTCCTACCTGTGACGCGCGTTATTAAGCCGCGTCTCGCAATTTGCCCGGGCGTGTGTGTAATTTAACGGCGTAAATTTAATCATGCTTCACACAAGGCGAGGCCTTCTCGTCGCTCATCTCGTGTGACAGGAGCGAGCGAACGCACGTCCATTATCGCCCGGATTTCGAAGATCTCGCGATTAAATCGATGTACACACTGTGTCGTACAAACGGAGACGGAAGCGCGGAGACGATAACGTGACAGGCCTGACAACAAAGTTCGCATCCGGTGGTTTGCTCGCGCGAATTATCGGGTGATCGTTATCGTTCCGAGTTCGCGAAATAAAGTGGCGGTATCTTTTCGTGCTTTTCTCTCTCTCTCTCTCTCTCTGCCTCCATCTCTCTTGCTCTTTGTTCTCTTCTTGCCTGTTGCAATTACGCGAGTATGAGTAATTTTCTAGAGTGCCGGCGCGAATTCGCGCGATTATCCATCCAGAAACAACGCGGAGTGGTTGTTAATTCCCCGAGCCCCTTCGGACACTTAACACGCGCCGCTTTCAACGGCCGGAACTTCACTAAGGCATCTACGAGCGAGAGAGAGAGAGAGAGAGAGAGAGACGTTCATTCGATAACTCGATAGCTTTAACGGCGACGCCTCGAATAATCGCTGACGGCATTCGCTTCAATTGGGTTCGCTTCATTTGATTTGCTTCTTTGTCCGGCTCGTGTCAAGCGCGAGGCGTATCAAATTAAGGCTGCTATCGATTCTCTCGAATATTTCGGCTAAGTGACTTGGTCTCCTAAACCGTAGTGAACGCTACCGAAGGAAGAAAGAGGGAAGTTAATGGTGAGTGCTCCGAATGCGTTAAAATTAACGTATCGAAACGAACTTGGTCTTTTTTTCGGAGATAAACGAGAAATTAACGAAACGTGATATTTTGATGAAATTTCTCTCGGTCCTTTGCATATGATGGAATTGAAAGAACGTTAAGCGGATACTGCAGCCTTTGACGAACTTGATAAGCGTCGATAACGTAGAGGCGATACTCTAAATATTATGTTACATAAACATTGACACGGCCACTCTACTCTTTTCCTACCTTTTGTATGTATCTTACGTAAATGTGAGCGCGATGTAAACGCAAACGCGACGAATGTGCGCTACTCTGTTTTACTGTATTTAACGGGAAATCTAACCAAGATATGTAAACATTTTTCTGCAAACTTTTCGTATCCCAGAGAGAATCGTCACTTCTCAAACATAAAAGAAAATAATTATCTGCGAGGAAATATGTAATAAGTTTCAAAAGATTACTATGTACTTTGGCGGGAAAGTGTTGCTGGTTTGTATCCATGTATGTAAAATTTAATTTTACATCTTCAGCAGAGCTTTAGAGTCCAAAAGCAAAATTAGTACGTCGGTTTTGGTGCTTTTCCTCTATTATGTAATACGTAGGAATTCACCTTCATTCTTGATGGTTGTATATTGTAAATTCGGTCTCGTCCTCGGTCAGGTAACGTTTATTAAGTTTCCGCTATCAAAGAAACTTGGGCTTTGTTTCAGCGCGAGATAATAGTCGGCCATTTTAGGCTCGTTCACGGACCTGTCATCAAAGTTTCACTAAGAAACTCCCAGTCCCTCCGGACACGCTCGCGAAACTGTAGAGACACCAGCAGATTATACGAT